TTTTTTAAATAAAATACTTTGGGACCTTCATCTCTGACTATTACACAAGAGGAAGAAATTTCAACAATAGACAACTAAGCCAAGATGCAAACAGTATCATATATCCTGCTTCTTGAAACGTAAGTCTTGGAAAGTGTCTGTCTCATTCTCTTTTCATTCATTGTTCCTGGCAAGCTGACAGAACCGCCTGATGCACTGTTACAGTAGCTCACCCAAACGACTTCTAATCAGCCACTTAAACATTTATGCATTTCAAAACTTGATCTCAGAACATAATACTAAACATAAATACTTACTATTTAAAGGCAGACATTCTTCTATTATACAGATTTCCTTCTTTTTATGCACTCTCCACACACAGCCCCACCCCCACCACTCTGAGAAACGTGAAAGCTATTCCATTCAAAGCTCAATGACGCTTTTCCCCCCATATAGGAAAAAAACCCAAACGATTATGACAAAGATCCTGAGTGAGTCATAAGAGAATGCCCTTCAATTGTGGAGGCATGACTAACATTTGAATATGGTGATTGCTACACAAGCAAAGTAAACCATTTTATTTGGTTGACTGCAAAATATATAGTCATCTATTTTTCCATACCCCAAAAATATAAATTTGAAGAGTTGTTCACCTCAGTATGATAGGCTGTTACTTTTTCACATCCTGCTAAGTCCATTTAGAAAATGGGCAAAAAATAATGGAAAGTAGCTAGTAGCACTATTGCCATAATCCCCATTTATCTTGATGTTAAAAAAAAATTCATTGTGTTTACATTTTAAGGCAACCCACACCATTTGCTTATACTCTAATATTTTGATAATAATAAATTTTGCTTGATAAATGTGATACATACATAAAGAAATATGCAGATGTCTTATTACCAAAAAGGCAATAAATTCTGCTTGTGAGAGAGAGAGAAGACTTTGAAAAACCTAAGTGACATTTATTAAGCCAAGCATTAAAGACTAGTAAAAGTTTATCACATGGAAAAGAGTAGGAACCTTGTCTTTTTGTTCTTTGTCCATTGCCCAGCCATGCTCTAGGCAATCACTCAGAGCAGCATAATTGATCATGGTTATTTGTCAGCTTACTTGGGGTCCTCATTAGAGTGGTTTTACTCAAGAGTAGGACCTTCATATATTTTTCTTTATAAGCCAGTACTCAGAAGGCATTCAATAAAAAGTTTTCCCTTCAAAAGAGCTTTCCTTATAAAGTCAGATTGACTCCATCCTCAAAGTCACTGATAAAAAACATAAAAGAGTCAGCAGTTTCCCTAAAATGGAAGAACTGCAAAAAAAGAGAAAAGATCCATTAAAACACTGGTCCATTCCCCCTATCCCAAATTTCCTGCTTTTATCCTTGGGATGCATTATGCCAGAATGTATATGTATATATACAAGTACACACATACATATATACACACATATGTGAATGTTTTGACATAAGATTGACTTGGTATTTATATTCAACTTTCAGTTTTTCAACACAAACCAATAGTTGGTAAAGACAAATGACCCAGAAAAGGATCAAGTCTGATAATTTGCTGTGGAAAACTCATGCACTAACAATACAGAATTAGAATAAAGTTAGGACCTTTGTGGAAGAAGAGTCAATAAGCTCCCACTGTTCACCTGCTTCTAAAAGAACATCTTGTTCAGAAGACCCATGTTTGAATCTAGACTCTGCCATTATCTGTGTAACACTGGGAAACTCACTCAAGCCCTGTGGTACTGTTCTCTCCTCTGTGAAATGGAGCGGACACACTGCTGTTTGGAGCATGAGACAGGGATTATGAGAGAGCATGGATGTCCTATAGCAGCTTCTTACTCCATGCAGCCTCTAAACAACTGCTTTCCCTGAAGAGCACCATGTCAGACCACTTGTCCCAACACAAGAGACTCCAAACAGAGCAGGAAAAAGATCTTACTAAAGGAATCACATCCACCACCTCTTCCCATTGATAAGGTTCATGGCCTGGTGACAAAGATAGTAGACATGTGGAAGGGAAAAATACCTTGCAATTTTTTTTTTTTGGCTTCCTCTGTTCATTCTAAATTTCCCTACATCGAATTAACCATGGCAAAAGGAGTCTTACTTTAATTTGCTGTCCCTGAACAATTTAACTGCACTCTGGTTTGGGGCCACGAATGAAAGGACGGCCATATGTATTTGCTGATGTCAACTGGACAAAGCTCACCCAGCCAGGCACAAGAGAGTGCTTTCCCAGAGAAAATGCTGTTCTCCATTTACCACCTCCGGAACTAAAGCTGCTTTTACTCATTCTACACTCTATAAAAGGCTTTTATTATATGCTTCCCTCCTTTGTAACACAGCCCCCCCCCTTTTGAGGAAAAATCTGCAGTAATAAGCAAGCTAGTCTTTTAACAGAAGATAAACAAAGTGCAGTGAACTTAAAACCACTCTACTTTGTTTTACCCAACCACACAGCATTCCATATTGCTTTCGTTTCTTTTCTTCCCGTTGCTGTTAATAGTTATTTTTAAAGAATTACAACAGAAGCAGGTCAATAATGCCTACAGATGTCATGAAAGTATTAGGCCATACTCTATGCAGAGAAACATGTAAACAGTTAATGGGCTGAGGTAATTTATAATCCTCCTTTTACCAAATGCATTTTACCTACAATTCCACTTGCATAACGGATGATTCACTTAAAACCTCACCGCAGAAAGTGGCTGTCAGTTAAACAACCATCATCTCTACCAACAATAGATGTTTACAGAGCACCTACTATGTATTTTTAGGGCACTGCTAGGTCTACATGTAAGCCAGGATTAAAGAAGAATAAATAAAAAATTTAATCTTCTTCCTCTTACATTATTCATTTGCTTCTATCATCCTTCTTTCTCTATTTTATGAAGACACCTGTTTGCTTTCCCTCCTCTTACCTTCTAGGTTAAGTCAAAGAGTGCTCCTGGATTAACCCCTCCAACTTGCTTTGTTCTTCCCGTGGGTCAGGAGCAGCTATGAAAGAGACTCAATGACTGGTATCATCTCAGCCTCTTTGTTCTCCTAGAGCTGGAAAACAGCTGAGTATCTTAGAGCAAGATGCTCAAGTATCCAGCCTAAGCATTACCAACTAGGTTTACTTTGGAATTTGGGGGCATCAGGAGCCCAGGATCTAAGAACAACCTCCTTACCTGTTTATGTCCTCAGGACAGTTGTGATTTTGCATGGTTACAGGGCTGGAATTAGAAATCTTGCCAAACTACTATTTTCAGTGACTTTCTTACTCTGTGTGTGTGTGTGTGTGTGTGTTTTGAGACAAGATCTCACTCTGCTGCTCTGTGTGTGTGTGTGTGTGTGTGTGTATGCGTTTTGAGACAAGATCTCACTCTGCTGCTCTGTGTATGTGTGTGTGTGTGTGTGTGTGTGTGTGTGTGTGTGTGTTTTGAGACAAGATCTCACTCTGTTGCCCAGGCTGGAACACAGTGATACAATCATGGCTCACTGCAGCTTCAACCTTTAGGTCTCAAGGGATCCTCCTGCCTCAACCTCCCAAGCAGCTGGGACTACAGGTGCATGCCACCATGCCTGATTAATTTTTTAACTTTTTTGTAAAGATGGGGGTCTCACTATGTTGCCCAGGCTGGTCTTGAATTCCTGGTCTTAAGTGATCCTCCCACCTTAGCCTCCCAAAGTGCTTCTTACCATATTATGTATGTATGCACCAGCCCCTTCTAACATGGATGTTTTTATCACCTCCACCTACTATTCCCTGAATGACCTGATGAAGGCAAGAGAAGAAACTTAGGATTTCACAGAACACCAAGGATTTATTTACAAATGAGCAAAGGAGCCTTAAAACTAGGCGAAAAATAATGATCTAAAAATCCATTATAATCTGCTTTGAACTAGAGTACTTACCATTAGTATCACCAACCATACTACAGCTATATGGGTGGCAAATTAATAGTGAAAAAGTTAAATATAATTCTACAGAGCCCAATAAGGGATCCCAAATATCTCATACGTTTTACAAGTATTTAGCTTGCTGCCAGTTTTTATTATAGCTCTTACTCTGAAATTTTAAAAATGAGGTTTCACAATTTATAGCAGTGATGGCTATCTTCTGTCTTAATATCGACTAAGGACCTGTTTGACTAATTTTCGACCAGGGATATTATGTTCTGAAATATTTGGCCTACCCAACAAAGTAATTTTTTAAAGTAAATTTTGTTTGCATCTAAAACCAAAAATAGGCAGTTGGCTTCCTCTCTATTTTTCATTTGCTATTCAGTCCCTCTACGTTTCTGACCTTAGCCTATTCTTCCATTTGTCGGCTCCCTAAATTTACAAGAAAAAAAAAACCATATATATATGTATTTTTTATTAGCTATATATATTAGCAAGCATTCACAAACCTTAAGATATTTTCAGTGATAAGAAGGATACATTTTGTAAGGTAAGTAGAATTCAATTATTTAACAGTTAAAACAAAACTGACAGAGCCCCTGAAAATATTTACCAGACTTCCCCACCTTCACAGTGGATGCTTCTCAACTTGCGGTGTATTATTCATATAAATAGAAGAAGCAGACATACAATGATTTATGGAGGTATTGGGGCAAAATACCAATGACTAATTACAAAGAGTTTTCTCCAGGATCCAATGTGTCTAGGTCCCAAAGTACATGTATCAAGCGTTCAATTCCACTGACAGAATCCCAAATCTGACTGTTAGGGGAAAAGTACGATTCCTGGGGACTTGAGTTGCTTGGCCTGGTGCCTTGCTGCACATTTAGCCATGTAGTTAATCTCCCAGAGCTGCACCCACTGTGGCATGCCTGCTATTCTTTACCATCTGGAGCCTGGAGTTGGTATTAGCTTGAACCACACATGCAAGAGAAAAGGGAAGAAAAGAAAAAAAAAACAACCCTCATTCACATTTAACTGAAATTGGTGACTGAACAATGCACTATGCCGCCTAGGCTTTTACACATGTAAGAAAGGGGGGAAAAAAGGGTAAAGTACAAACCTTCTCCTTTGTTTTCTGGTTCTCTGCTCTAAGGTCTTCATATTCGCCTATTGCTAAAAGAAAAAAGGAAAGCAACATTACAACACTGTCAAAAGTTTACTGCAGGGAAACCTGGGGAATCCACCTAACCCCCATTGTCTTCTTACTAGGTTGAGGTAGGGTGGAGAAGAGGCAGCAGAAAAGGGGCTTCTGTTTTCATCTTTTTATTCTGTAGGGACAGGGTCTCACTATGTTGCTCAGGCTGGTCTCAAAACTCCTGGGCTCAAGCGATCCTCCTGCCTTGGCCTCACAACGTGTGATTACAGGCATGAGCCACCAAACCTGGCTGGGCTCCTGCTTTTAACAGTAAGGAAGAAAAAGCAGACGTGAGCCCACCAAATTAAATTTCAGTTCTCCCTAGGTCATTAGGAACACCCACGAGCCAGGTAGTTCTCCCTAGGTCATTAGGAACACCCACGAGCCAGGAGAGGTGACATATGACAAGCGATTTCTCCTTTCTGATGCTCAGCACTTGGTCCTGTGAAAGCATTCGGGCAGGTGTTCCCTGAAGTTCCTCCTAGCACTGTTAGTCCGTGGTACTATAATCAGAGGTTTATTTAGAAAATCCGCCTGTAGAAAGTAGAGTAGGTTTGCACACTCGACTCAATGTCACACGTCTGCTTTATTCACAAGCAAAAAATTTATAAAGGATTCAGCTAAGAACTATTTTCAGATAAGATTGTCAGTCACGACCAGAAATTCAGACTCCTTTCACTAACTGGGGAAGATATGTTAAACTGTTTGGAAATAGTATCCACTACGTAGGGGGCACAGTTGTGTACTTAAAATATTTTATTGACCAAAAAAAAAAAAAAAAACAACCCTAAATTCCCACATTCATCTTTAATCAAAGCACCATTTTTAGGTATTCCTACAGTTGAGAATATAAAGTTTTGAACACATTAAGTGAGAAGAAAAAGAATGGCCTAAGATCAATGACAGAGCAGAACATCTGAAGTAAGTCTAAAACTGTGGCTCACCCCAGGGCCGGCACCTTGACTGGCACGAGAAAGTCAGTGAATCATCAGGTTGATTTTCTTTTTTTAAGAGACAGGGTCTTATTCTGTCACTTAGGCTGGAGTGCAGTGGTACCATCATAGCTCACTGCAGTTTCGAACTCCCGGGCTCAAAACAATCCTCCCACTTCAGCCTCTTGAGCAGCTGGAACTACAGGCACATGCTACCATGCCCAGCTAAATTTTTAAATTTCTTGTAGAGATGGGGTCTTGCTATTTTGCCCAGGCTGGTCACAATTTGAACTTTTGTCTTTATGGATTTATCTACCAAAAAAAAACCCTCAGTTCTTCTTTTAAGAAAAAAAAAAAACAGAGCTTCCTATTTCTATGAATAATCTAGAAACAGAAATAAAAAATCTGAAACCAGTGGCTGCAAGAACATCGCAGATAATCTGGTCCTTAATTCCAAAAATGTACAATTCTAACCACTAGGGCAAAGAACACCCCAGAAACAGATGTTTAACATGGTAAAGCACATGCCTTGTTTTCTCCTCTGGTGATCGAAAGGGTTCAGAATGGCTACTGTGATGGTGGCACCAAAGTCCTAAAATCCAAATTCAAATTGATGAATATTTATGACATTATACCATCAATGTCCAGAAGTTTTATTAGTATACCAGGACCACTTAAACAAGAATTAATGGATAATTTTATTGAAGCCACATCCCAAAAGAATCCTTGAAAATTAGTCCATAAAATAGGTGAATGTGTACATGTAAAGATATAGTTCTTCTGAAAATAATTACATTTACAGTCTGGGCGTGGTGGCTCACGCCTGTAATCCCAACACTTGGGGAGGCCAAGGTGGGCAGATCACTTGAGGTCAGGAGTTCAAGACTAGCCTAGATAACATGGCAAAATCTTGCCTCTACTAAAAGTACAAAAATTAGCCGGGCGTGGTAGCACTTGCCTGTAGTCCCAGATACTTGGGAGGCTGAGGTAGGAGAATCATGTAAACCTGGGAAGCAGACATTGCAGTGAGCCAAGAACGTACCACTGCACACTCCAACCTGGGCAACAGAGCAAGACTGTATCTCAAAAAACAAAACAAAACATTTTCAACAGAAAAAGATTTGACTGACCTAGAATGAAGCCCTCTGAACACCAGCTCTTCGTCAGCCCTGCCACACATACCCCAAGAGCTAAGTATAAACTAAATCGTCTTTGGAGGTGAAAAACCAATGAAACATGTCCTTACCTTTTTAACAGAAAGAAACAAGAACTAACTAATAACTTCTCAAAATATTCACTTACACCACCACTGGGTAGTCTATGGCCATGATCCCATATCTTATTACTATATCTTAAATTATTTCAAAAAATAGATATATAAGTATTCTATTAAGAGACTTTGATTTTAGGTTACTTGACATTTAAAAGTATCTGTAGATGAAGTTGAAAACCAAAATTGATTTAATGTTCTATTATTGGTAAACTGCTTTACAGACATAGAGAATGAACAATAAAGGTTTATAAAACCATGATCTCAGCCAGGTGCAGTGGCTCATGCCTGTAATGCCAGCACTTTGGGAGGCTGAGGCGGGCAGATCATCAGGTCAGGAGTTCGAGACCAGCCTGACCAACATGGTGAAACCCCGTCTCTACTGAAAATACAAAAAAATTAGCTGGGCATGGTAGTGCGCACCTGTAATCCCAGCTACTCAAGAGGCTGAGGCAGGAGAATCACTTGATCCCGGGAGGCAGAGGTTGCAGTGAGCCAAGATTGCACCACTGTATTTCAGCCTGGGCAACAGAGCAAGACTCCGTCTCCAAAAAAAAAAGAAAAGAAAAAAAAAAGAAATAAAAAACCATGATCCTCAATGATCTCATATTGACATTAAGAAATTTTTTCTATTTAAAATATCACATAATGGTTTTGAAGTCTTTTTTAAAATACCAATACTATTCTTCCATTATACTGCCAATAGAACCCAGATGAAACATTGTAGGCTCCCAATTACTGGGTATTTGTGAAAAGAATTAATTAAGAATCTTAATTCCAGCCTGGGCAACAGAGCAAGACCCTGTCTCCAAAATAAAATAAGATAAAATAAAATACCATGATCCTCAATGATCTCATATTGACATTAAGAAATTTTTTCTATTTAAAACATCAGATAATGGTTTTGAAGTCTTTTTTAAAATACCAATACTATTCTTCCATTATACTGCCAATAGAACCCAGATGAAACATTGTAGCATCCCAATTACTGGGTATTTATGAAAAGAATTAATTAAGAGTCTTTGAACTATCATATTTTAATGAAAATCACAGAAAATATGCTTTCTTGTGACTATGTACAACTTTAAAGTAAGGTATAAGGAAAGGAAAGGAAAGTATGAGAAGAATTCAACCCTTGCTAATAAAACCAAGCTCACTACCATAAACAACACGTACAAACATGCACGCACATACACACACGTATGTATCATAGTGGACCCCTAACCCTAACCTCAGCAAAACTGGCAAAAACTGAAGTGATCTATATTATTCAGCTGCTTCTTTGGCAATGTTACGGGGTCGCAGAGAAAGCTGCCTTCTTGTTTCAGAACTGGCTTGCAGTCTGAAAATTTTAAAAACTGAGCTTGCACAGCTCAAGTGATTCCATCAGAGACATCCTCCAAATCCTGAACTCGCCAATGCTAAAGAGATTAATCTGGTCGGGTATGGTGGCTCATGCCTGTAATCCCAACACTTTGGGAGGCCAAGGTCGGGGGAATCACTTGAGGTCAGGAGTTCACAACCTGCCCGGACAACATGGTGAAACTGCATCTATACCAAAAATACAAAAAAAAATAGCCAGGTGTGGCAGCACATGCCTGTAATCCTAGCTACTCACGAGGCTTGAGGTGGGAGGATCACTTGAACCCAGGAGGCGGAGGTTGCAGTGAGCCGAGATCATAACACTGCTCTCCAACCTGGGTAACAAAGCAAGACTCTGTCTCAAAAAAAAACCAAAAAAACAAAAAAACAAAAAAACAAAAACAGATGAATCTAACCAATTCTCGGCATATGAAAGGTACCTGCAGCTTGAGAGCTCAAGAAGACTTCATCTCTCACATTTACAGGTACAGTATATTTCACTGTACTATAAGGTTATATAGGACAGTAATTAAAAAGTGCATCCTAAGCACTTACTGGCTAGGGGACCTTGGGCAAATCAGTGAATCTCTCTGACTCTCACGTTCCTCATCTGGAAAACAGGAATAATAATTACACATCTTTCATGGTGTTGTTACTAAGAGTAAATGAGTTAACATATGTAAGAGTATTTGGGCATATTAACTGTTCAAAACATGTTAGCCATGGTTATTATTACTGATATAAGTACATCAAATCCTGTGTTTACAACAAAAGAAGTTAGGCTATTCCCTAATGCCCTCAGCCTCAGGCTTATTTTGTCCTGCATGGCAGACAGGAAAAATTTCCAGGGTACTTCTATCCTCCACCAAATAAAGGGAGGGGAAAGGGGGTTAAAGATCAACTGCACACAAAGTGTTGCAGTAAAGAAAGGTGGCAAAGAAGTAAAAGCATTTCTGAGAGCTGTACTTGTCAATCCTGGCTACACACTGAAATCACCTGGGGGGCTTTTAAATCATATAGATGCCTTGCCCCTGCTGCTTCAAGATTCTGATTTAACTATTCTGGGGTAGATCCTGGGCATCCAGATAGATAGATAGATAGATAGATAGATAGATAGATAGATAGATAGACAGACAGACAGACACACACACACACACACACACACACATACATACATACATACATACATACACACACACATACATATATACGTTTAGAAGTGAGAGCCCCAGGTAATTCCAATGTACAGCCAAAGTGGGCTGTAACATAACAATATAGAATGGAAGAAAAAGGAAGACGGTGGAGAAAACAAGGAGAAGAGCAGGCAGAGCATGTGTTTCAAGAATCATGCTGGTTTTCTATTTTCTAACTCCTCGACGCCAAGAAAAGTTTTCTTTCCAAGCTGCAAATCATG